TGTGCAACAAGTGTACTGTATAACAAGTGTACTGTGTAACAAATGTACTGTGTAACAACTGTACTGTGTAATAGAGTACTGTGTAACAAGCTTACTGTGTAATAAGTGTACTGTGCAACAAGTGTACTGTATAACAAGTGTACTGTATAACAAGTGTACTGTATAACAAGTGTACTGTATAACAAGTGTACTGTGTAACAATTGCACTGATTAAGTAACAAGTGTACTGTGTAACAAGTGTACTGTGTAACAAGTGTACTGTGTAACAAGTGTACTGTGTAACAAGTGTACTGTGTAACAAGTGTACTGTGTAACAAGTGTACTGCGAGAATTTATCTCCGTGCATCGGCGTAATTATCAATTTTACGCCCACACCACTGTCACCAATTGTCGTGGGGGTTCAAAAGGAGATATGATGGTTGAAGATAAACACACTAGTGGATGGTAACACTATATATTGTCAGACTGTGGTAAGGGAGCCCAACCTGCCGTGTGTAGACCTGTGCGTGGACTGAGGAAGTTACAGAGGTACTCGCGCACATATGCGCATCACGTGACGTCACACAAACCGTCACTAGGCCTAGTAAGGGATCGTCTATATAAAACATATGGATGGTACTATGATACTCAGATAAGCTATACAACACATGTAAGGGGATCAGCAACTATGCTGACAGCTGCAGCATACGGGCACCTTCCAAACCTAAGAACAGCATTCCGACATCTAAATAAGGACTCATTCAGGACCCTGTACACTGTGCACGTTAGGCCCATATTGGAATATGCAGCGCAAGTTTGGAACCCTCACCTAGTCAAGCATGTAAAGATACTATAGAAAGTGCAAAGGTTTGCAACAAGACTCGTCCCGGAGCTAAGGGGTATGTCCTATGAGGAGAGGTTAAGGAAAATCGACCTGACAACACTGGAAGACAAGAGAGAGAGAGAGAGGGGACATGATAAAATACTGAGAGGTATAGACAAGGTGGACAAAGACAGGATGTTCCAGAAATGGGACACAGCAACAAGGGGTCACAGTTGGAAGTTGAAGACACAGATGAACCACAGGGATGTTAGGAAGTATTTCTTCAGCCACAGAGTTGTCAGGAAGTGGAATAGCCTGGGTAGTGATGTAGTGGAGGCAGGATCCATACACAGCTTTAAGAAGAGGTATGATAAAGCTCACGGAGTGGGAAGAGTGACTGAGTAGCGGCCAGTTGAAGAGGCAGGGCCAGGAACTGTGAATCGACCCCCCACAACCACAACTGGGTGAGTACAAGTGTACACTGACAGTGTAACACAAGTGTATACTGATCTGAGGATGGGGAGGAGGCTAATTAGGTTTAATGAGAATGGGGAGGTTAATTAGGTTTGATATGAAGATGGGGAGGTTAATTAGGTTTAATATGAGACTGGGAAGGTTAATTAGGTTTGATCTGAGAATGGGAATGTTAATTAGGTTTGCTCTGAGGATTGAGGAGGTTCATTAGGTTTGATATGAGGATTGGTAAGGTTAATTAGGTATGATATGAAGATGGAGAGGTTAATTATGTTTAATCTGAGAATGGGGAGGTTAATTAGGTTTGATCTGAAGATAGGGAGGTTAATTACATTTAATCTGAGAATGGGGAGGTTAATTAGGTTTTATCTGAAGATGGGGAGGTTAATTAGGTTTAATCTGAGAATGGGGAGGTTAATTAGGTTTTATCTGAAGATGGGGAGGTTAATTAGGTTTAATCTGAGAATGGGGAGGTTAATTAGGTTTGATTTGAAGATGGGGAGGCTAATTAGGTTTGATCTGAGGATGGGGAGGTTAATTAGGTTTGCTCTGAGGATGGGGAGGTTAATTAGGTTTAATCTGAGGATGGGGAGGTTAATTAGGTTTGCTCTGAGGATGGGGAGGTTAATTAGGTTTGATCTGAGGATGGGGAGGTTAATTAGGTTTGATATGAAGATAGGGAGGTTAATTAGGTTTGCTCTGAGGATGGGGAGGTTAATTAGGTTTGATCTGAGGATGGGGAGGTTAATTAGGTTTGATATGAAGATAGGGAGGTTAATTAGGTTTGCTCTGAGGATGGGGAGGTTAATTCAAAGTTTATTCTCTATAAGGATTACAATGCTGAGTTTACAGAAATTTGGTTATTGTTTGGTTTACATGTAGTAAAATTGAGATTACAGAGTGTACCACTAGAACGCTTAGCATGGCTAGGCATTTCGGGCATACTTAGTTTTATTCTTAATTGTAAAATATTACAAATTATGAGGTAAGTTGGTATTATGGCTAAGTGACTAAATACTAGTTTGTGAGTTTAGCAATGTGAATGCTTTTGTTTTGGCACAGTACATAGTTTCAGTATTGGAGTATCACAGGATTCATTATTTTAAGACTGAGATTAATATTTCTGTTTATGGTCAAATGAGTGAGTGAGTGTAAGTGTGAACCACCAGGTGGTATTCGTATAGTTAGTTGACGGGGTGTATCAGGAGATAAGATGTTTTCTAATGGTAGTTTTGAAGGTGATGAATGTGTCTGCAGTTCTAGAGTTCTCAGGTAGGGTATTCCAGATTTTAGGGCCTTTGACATACATTGAATTTTTGTAAAGGTTTAGTCGGACACGGGGAATGTCGTAGAGATGTTTATGTCTGGTGTTATGCCTGTGGGTTCTGTCACAACTATCAAGAAAGCATTTTAGGTCAAGGTTGATATTAGAGTTTAAGGCCCTGTAGATGTAGATTGCACAGTAGTAAGTGAAGTGTGGATGTACTGAACAGGGAGTAAGTTTAGGTCTATGAAGAGTGGGGGGGGGGTGTTGCCAGGGATGGGATTTAGTGATTATTCTTACTGCAGCTTTTTGTTGGGTTATTATTGGCTTTAGGTGTGTTGCTGCAGTTGATCCCCAAGCACAAATAGCATAGGTGAGGTATTTATTTATTTATTTATTTATTTATAATTTGAGCACACTTACAGAGGTACAAAAAAAAATACAGATAAGAGCAGCATGCCAAAGCCACTTATACTATGCATAGCATTACGGGCTGGCTTAAAATTAACTTAAGATTAACTAAGCAATGATGAAATCAGTGAAAAACATTAATGTAAACTGATTACTATAAAGCACAAGTGAGTATTACAAAGACAGGTCATATGGTTGCATGCATTGTTGTAAATTCAGTAGAATGGAGTATTCTGTTAGGTAGTGAATTTAAAAAATAATAAAGTTAGATTGGGTTTTAGGTTTAACATTTATGTGATATAATTGTGAGAAACATTTAAGATATACAATTTATAAGGTTCAGTTATTCAGTATTTATTTGGTTTTGGGTGAGTAAGTGATCTTTGAGAAGAGACTTGAATTTATAAACAGGTAGTGTTTCTTTTATATTAACAGGTAATGAATTCCAGATTTTAGGGCCTTTTATGTGCATTGAGTTTTTGCATAGCGTGAGATGGACACGAGGAATATCAAAGAGTGATCTGTGCCTTGTGTTATGGTCATGTGTTCTGTTGAGGTTGGCAAGGAGATGTTTGAGGGGAGGGTTAATATCAGAGTTGAGTGTTCTATGTATGTAATAGGTGCAGTAATAAGTATGGATGTTTTGTATGGTGAGTAGGTTGAGTGTATTGAATATTGGTGGAGTGTGCTGCCTGTAGTGAGAATTTGTTATCATTCTAACTGGATAAATAAGTGAGTGGTATAGTGTGAGAAGGGCATTTTGCGGCACGTAGTATCGTATCTTGGAGAGGATCCCATCCGTTTTGGATACTTTTTTGGCTATATGCTGGATATGGGCGCTGAAATTCAGGTTGTTGTCAAGGTATAAGCCTAGGAATTTTCCCCCATTATTTCGGGTAATTAGAGTGTTGTCAATCTTAATGTTAATTTGTGCATCTCCTGCTCTGCTACCAAACATAATATAGTAGGTTTTGTCAGTGTTAAGCGTAAGTTTATTGGCTGTCATCCAAGTCGATATTTTAATCAGCTCCTCATTCACAATAGTGTTGAGTGTGGCAAGATTAGGGTGAGAGATGACATAAGTTGTGTCATCAGCAAAGAGAATGGGTTTCAGGTGTTGGGATACGTTTGGAAGGTCATTGATGTATATGAGGAAGAGCAGGGGACCAAGGACACTTCCCTGCGGAACTCCAGTATCAAGTGGCCGTGTTGCTGATGCTGTGTCTTTAATGGTGACATACTGATACCTATTAGTAATGTAAGATTTGAAATAAGCTCTGAGGATGGGGAGGTTAATTAGGTTTGCTCTGAGGATGGAGAGGTTAATTAGGTTTGATCTGAGGATGGGGAGGTTAATTAGGTTTGATCTGAGGATGGGGAGGTTAATTAGGTTTGATCTGAGGATGGGGAGGTTAATTAGGTTTGATTTGAGGATGGGGAGGTTAATTAGGTTTGCTCTGAGGATGGGGAGGTTAATTAGGTTTGATCTGAGGATGGGGAGGTTAATTAGGTTTGATCTGAGGTTGGGGAGGTTAATTAGGTTTGCTCTGAGGATGGGGAGGTTAATAAGATTTGATCTGAGGATGGGGAGGTTAATTAGGTTTGCTCTGAGGATGGGAGGTTAATTAGGTTTGATCTGGAGGGGAGGTTAATTAGGTTTGCTCTGAGGATGGGGAGGTTAATTAGGTTTGATCTGAGGATGGGGAGGTTAATTAGGTTTGATCTGAGGATGGGGAGGTTAATAAGACTTGATCTAAGAATGGGGAGGTTTAACTTGATCTGAGGATGGGAGAGTATGAATAATTAAGCTTGACCTAAGGACTGTAGGTTAATAAGGTTTGATCTGAGGATAGGGACGGTAGTTCCATGTCCTTGGATTAAGAACATTTCATTACAATGACGCAGACAAACACATTAGTCAGGTTAATTCCAGGTCACGTGACATATACTACCATAGTCCTCCTCCACTCCTGCAACAGTACAAGAAATATAAATAAAACTATATATTACACAGTGTTTCAAGTTATTTTCAGTAGAATATAAGCTTACTTTTTCAGGTATCTTGCGTCGTCTGCCTGCATCTTGGACTCTTATGTTGACTGTCAGCGATGTGTTGGGATGAAGGGTTCACTCGGCCTCTGGTTAGTGTGTTGGGCATGAAGGGTTCACTCGGCCTCTGGTTAGTGTGTTGGCATGAAGGGTTCACTCGGCCTCTGGTTAGTGTGTTGACATGAAGGGTTCACTCGGCCTCTGGTTAGTGTGTTGGCATGAAGGGTTCACTCGGCCTCTGGTTAGTGTGTTGGCATGAAGGGTTCACTCGGCCTCTGGTTAGTGTGTTGGCATGAAGGGTTCACTCGGCCTCTGGTTAGTGTGTTGGCATGAAGGGTTCACTGGCCTCTATGGTTAGTAGTGTTGGCATGAAGGGTTCACTCGGCCTTGGTTAGTTGTTTGGCATGAAGGGTTCATTCGGCCTCTGGTTAGTGTGTTGGCATGAAGGGTTCACTGGCCTGGGTTAGTGTGTTTGCATGAAGGGGTTCACTTCGGCCTCTGGTTAGTGTGATGGCTGAAGGGTTCACTCGCTCTGGTTAGTGTGTTGGCATGAAGGGTTCATCGGCTCTGGTTAGTGTGTTGGCATGAAGGGCACGGCCTCTGGTTGGTGTTGGCATAAGGGTTCACTTCGGCCACGTTAGTGAGGGCATAGGGTTCATCGACATGCTGGTTAGTGTGTTGGCATGAAGGGTTCACTTACACCTGTTGGTTAGTGTGTTGAGCATGAGGTTCACTCGGCTCTGGTTAGTCGATGTTGCTAAGGGTTACTGCTCTGTTAGTGTGTTGGATGAAGGTTCACTCGGCCTCTGGTTAGTGTGTTGGCATGAAGGGTTCACTCGGCCTCTGGTTAGTGTGTTGGCATGAAGGGTTCATCGGCTCTGGTTAGTGTTTGGCATGAAGGGTTCACTCGGCCTCTGGTTAGTGTGTTGGCATGAGGGTTCACTCGGCCTCTGGTTAGTGTGTTGGCATGAAGGTTCACTCGGCCTCTGGTTAGTGTGTTGGCATGAAGGGTTCACTCGGCCTCTGGTTAGTGTGTTGGCATGAAGGGTTCACTCGGCCTCTGGTTAGTGTGTTGGCATGAAGGGTTCACTCGGCCTCTGGTTAGTGTGTTGGCATGAAGGGTTCACTCGGCCTCTGGTTAGTGTGTTGGCATGAAGGGTTCACTCGGCCTCTGGTTAGTGTGTTGGCATGAAGGGTTCACTCGGCCTCTGGTTAGTGTGTTGGCATGAAGGGTTCACTCGGCCTCTGGTTAGTGTGTTGGCATGAAGGGTTCACTCGGCCTCTGGTTAGTGTGTTGGCATGAAGGGTTCACTCGCCTCTGGTTAGTGTGTTGGCATGAAGGGTTCACTCGGCATCTGGTTAGTGTGTTGGCATGAAGGGTTCACTCGGCCTCTGGTTAGTGTGTTGGTATGAAGGGTTCACTCGGCCTCTGGTTAGTGTGTTGGCATGAAGGGTTCACTCGGCCTCTGGTTAGTGTGTTGGCATGAAGGGTTCACTCGGCCTCTGGTTAGTGTGTTGGCATGAAGGGTTCACTCGGCCTCTGGTTAGTGTTGGCATGAAGGGTTCACTCGGCCTCTGGTTAGTGTGTTGGGATGAAGGGTTCACTCGGCCTCTGGTTATTGTTGAATGAAGGGTTCCTGGCCTCTGGTTTATTTGTTGAGATGAAGGGTTCACTCGGCCTCTGGTTATTGTTGAGATGAAGGGTTCACTCGGCCTCTGGTTATTGTTGAGATGAAGGGTTCACTTGGCCTCTGGTTATTGTTGAGATGAAGGGTTCACTCGGCCTCTGGTTATTGTTGAGATGAAGGGTTCACTCGGCCTCTGGTTATTGTTGGGTTGAAGGGTTCACCCAGCCTCTGGTTATTGTTGGGTTGAAGGGTTCACCCAGCCTCTGGTTATTGTTGGGTTGAAGGGTTCACCCAGCCTCTGGTTACTGTTGGGTTGAAGGGTTCACCCAGCCTCTGGTTACTGTTGGGTGAAGGGTTCACCAGCCTCTGGTTACTGTTGGGTTGAAGGGTTCACCCAGCCTCTGGTTACTGTTGGGATGAAGGGTTCACCCAGCCTCTGGTTACTGTTGGGTTGAAGGGTTCACCCAGCCTCTGGTTATTGTTGGGTTGAAGGGTTCACCCAGCCTCTGGTTACTGTTGGCATGAAGGGTTCACCCAGCCTCTGGTTACTGTTGGGTTGAAGGGTTCACCCAGCCTCTGGTTATTGTTGGGTTGAAGGGTTCACCCAGCCTCTGGTTACTGTTGGCATGAAGGGTTCACCCAGCCTCTGGTTACTGTTGGGTTGAAGGGTTCACCCAGCCTCTGGTTACTGTTGGGTTGAAGGGTTCACCCAGCCTCTGGTTACTGTTGGGATGAAGGGTTCACCCAGCCTCTGGTTATTGTTGGGTTGAAGGGTTCACCTAGCCTCTGGTTACTGTTGGGATGAAGGGTTCACCCAGCCTCTGGTTACTATTGGGTTGAAGGGTTCACCCAGCCTCTGGTTACTGTTGGGATGAAGGGTTCACCCATTATTATTATAATCAAGGTGGAAGCGCTAAACCCGGAGGATTATACAGCGCCTGGGGGGGGGGGGGATGTGGAAGGCATTCAGGCTTAATTCGGGGAACTGGAGCACAGATCCAATTCCCTAAATCAAGAGCCCCTCACCAACATCAAGGAACCTTCCTTGAGGGGAAGGGATCACCCAGCCTCTGGTTATTGTTGGGTTGAAGGGTTCACCCAGCCTCTGGTTATTGTTGGGATGAAGGGTTCACCCAGCCTCTGGTTATTGTTGGGATGAAGGGTTCACCCAGCCTCTGGTTATTGTTGGGATGAAGGGTTCACCCAGCCTCTGGTTATTGTTGGGTTGAAGGGTTCACCCAGCCTCTGGTTATTGTTGGGATGAAGGGTTCACCCAGCCTCTGGTTATTGTTGGGATGAAGGGTTCACCCAGCCTCTGGTCAGCATTGGGTTGAAGGGCTCATTTAACCTTACCAATAGGTTACACAATTATTATAATCAAAAAGAAGCGCCAAACCACAAGGGCTATACAGCGCTGCATAGGTTACAGAAACGTTTGTAGATACATAAGCAAGATTTAAGATATAATCAAAATGAAGTGCTAACAGCACATTATTATAATCAAAAAGAAGCGCTAAGCCACAAGGGCTATACAGCAAAGCAAGACACTATGTAATAGGTTGTTTTTCCATTAGGCTTTTTTTTGTTAATAAAGACCAGTAAGAGTAGACTGTGTGTAACACAGTCGACTGAGCAACCAGGGTTCAACTTCCTGATCAAAGTATACTTTGTAAGTTTCCTTATACCCATTACCCATCTTCACCTAGCAGTAAGTAGGTACCTAGGTGAAAAACAACTGTAGTGGGTCACATCCTGTTAAAGTTTTGCTGTCTTGTGAATTATAATCATAACCAAGTGCTAAACCCATAAGGAACATAGAGCACAACTATTTAATTATATTGTATAATATTTTGTTTATAAATTAGTTACACTCTTGTTCAGTTAGACAAATTTGTTTTTGGTTTTATGAATTATGCTGTAACTTGTATCTATTTCCTTCTTCTTGAAGGTTTACAGCACTGTCAGCTTGCATTATGTTGATCTGTGTTGCCAGGGCAAGAAACTGTTCCAAGTGGAAGGAACATAATTTGTAGGGAAACATATCTTATGAGCTTTCTGCTTAATGTACATTTTGTAATGCAGTTATTGGAAATAATGAATCAATCTTACTGAGAATCTCTCACTCTGAGGGACCAGGATTTGATCCCTGGCATTAATACAACTGATATGATCCCTCAGTCAAAGCATTTTCTAAATACATCCTCCTGTTTTCTAATGTTTTTAAAAAAACTATTATTCCTTTCACATGCTGCCCTAACTTGCCATTGTTACTGAAGGATCTAAAATACTAATTTCTATGTGATAACTTGTCTATGCCTCTTCTAATTTGCTTCAAATTTTCATTGATGTTGAACTGCATTACTAACTTGTGCCACACACTGCATTACTAAGTTGCATGCACTGAAGTACAGGGGACTAGTGTTATGCAATATAGGGATACCTATCTTAGTTATTGCAGCAACTGAAATACATTTAGCTATCGCTTTCTTCCTTCAGGGACTGATGGAAATGATAGGGGCACTAGCTCCCAGCTCCCCCACTTTCTCTCTCCCATTCAACTATAACAACTAACCTATAAAGATTAGAGAAGTCAGTAATTTGGCCAATTTTACACAGTTAAAAAATATAGCAATTTAAAAATACTAAAACTTTTCCTCTGTTCATTAATCACATCTCCAGACCTCTCCTATAATACACTTGCCTTCCATTTTGAATTCACAGTCATACAAAAATAGAAGATTTACTCCTATTTCCTGGATAAAAAAATATAAACATGAATGATTGGTCAGGGTTCATGGCATCCCAATAATTGACTCACACCTAGTAAAAACCTATAAAACAGGCTAAAGGTGTAGGGGGGCCTAGCCCATCCTCAGAAAAATAGAAAAAAAAAAATCTAACATTTCCAATGATTTAAGCCCAATGCTGAAACTAACCAAAATCATTTTCTTTGGTAGTATATCTTCCATTCTATCAAATGATACCAAGAAACAGCCAATAAAAACACCTCAGTTACTATTTTATATCAAACACATGGTTAGTTTTGTTTTCCCATCATGCACAGTGGTGCTGTATTTTTTATACCGTGCACACTCCCTGTGCAGAACCATTCTCCTTTTTTTTTCTCTCTCTCAACAAGTTAGCTGTCTCTTATCTACACCAAAATTTACCACTTGCAGTTTATCTGACCAAGTTGATTATTATAATCAAAATGAAACACTAAAACCATTAGGGCCATACAGTGCTGCAGGGCAGGGAATGATGCAGGATCATATTATAAACAAGGGTGGGGAGGATAACAGAGGTACAGTTAGAAAGGGCTGTGAGAAGTGCTAGAGGAAGTATTAACAAAGTTTGTGTAATAAATCGGTTGCTGTCAAAAAGTCAAGAGGGAGTCGGCAAGGAGGGAAGATAAAGTGTGTTAGAGTGGTGACAATGTTAGAAGTAAATTCTGCGTGCTAGTTGACAGACAGGAGAGTCCAACAGAATATGGGGAATTGAAAGTGGAACTGACACAGCTGAGCTCATGACAGAACTACATGATAGACCCTGGGCTCAATGACATGGTTTTACATAATGGCCGCTGTAAGGGTAAATACAACATAAAATGCTTGAGATGACAATACTGGCTCACACTAGTATATGGCCTTGAATTAGTGTCTCTGGGAAAAATGGCTGCATCTGGAGATTTGCAATCACTGGTGTATACCATAGCATATGAATGATTTTAAATGTTCAATAACAAGCACTTGAGAATTTAATTTAGTGCAGACATTCATGCATTCAGGCAAGGAAAAGGGGGGTAAGGAGGAAAAAATTTGAATCAAAGGGGCTTGCCAAGGAGCCAGGGTAAAAATCTGATGCTAGATGTTAACAGAAATGCTAGGTGGTGCATGGTACATATGTGCTAGTGGAGTAACGCAATACCTAAGAAATGATTTTGCAGTGCTATGACCCTAGTTGGTTTAGAGCTTCTTTTTGATTATATTATGAAATGATTCAAGAAAGCCAGCTAGACTAATTCAACTTGCAGTGTATTTCTGAGGGTGGGGATTATTATTATTATTATTATACAGTCACTTCTCACTTAGCGACGTGCTCGTTTACCGACCATTCGGACTTACGACCAGCTCTCCAACCAGTATGCAAACCTAATATATATTAGAGGTGATTTTCTCTAATCTGTTTATTACAGTAGTTTGGAGATTAGGAGGAGGTGCAGGATTACCAAAATTATTATCCAGAGGGCTAAGAAAGAGGAGGGGTTATTAAGATGGCTTGGACATGTAGAGAGGATGGAACAAAATAGAATGACTTCCAGTGTATAAATCTGTAGTGGAGGGAAGGCGAGGTAAGGGTCGGCCTAGGAAAGGTTGGAGGGAGGGGGTAAAGGTGGTTTTGTGTGCGAGGGGCTTGATATCCAGCAAGCATGTTAGATAGGAGCAAATGGAGACATAGTTTTTAGGACTTGACATGATGTGGGAGTGTGAGCAAGGTAACATTATGAAGGGATTCAGGGACACCAGCAGGCTGGACTTGATTCCTGGAGATGGGAAGTACAGTGCAAGAATTCTGAAGGAGGGGTGTTAATGTTGGAGTTTTATAACTGTAGTGTAAGCATGCCTCTGGAAAGACAGTGATGGAGTGAATGATGAAAGATTTTCTTTTTCAGGCCATCCTACCTTGGTGGGAAACTGCTGATGTGTTAAAAAAAAAAAAAAAAACAAACGGATTCAGGGAAATTGGTTGGCTGAACTTGAGCCCTGGGAGTGAGAAGTACAGTTCCTGCACTCTGGAGGAGTGATGGTGAAAATGTTTCTTCTTTTTTGGGTCACCTTACCTCTGTGGGAGATAGCTGGTTTGTAAAAAAAAAAAAAATCTGAAAAACTATCAAAAAACAGTTCTGGAAGTGGAACAGAGTTCCCCAAGTCAGTGGTCTCGATGGTTCCAACAATGAAGAACATTGCCCATGTAGGTGGACAGAAGATATCATGGAGAGGCTATAGGGCCCAGTGGTACCTTTGACAAGTTTCACGAGTCTACTCCCAGAGCCTAGCCATGGGCCAAACCGCAGCAAGGCACAGAAGAGTGCCAGTACTCTGAAGGATTAAGAACATAAGAAAGAAGGAGCACTGCGACAGGCCTACTGACCCATGCGGAGCAAGTCCATGTTCCCTCCCGGATTAGACCAATGACCCCCCCCGGATTAGCCCAATGACCCACCCAGTCTGACCATCTTCACTCAAGGATGGAGCACTGCACCAGATCCAGCAGCACAAGCTAGTCAGGTCCAACTCACACCCACCCACACCCACTCATGTATTTATCTAACCTATTTTTAAAACTACACAACGTTTTAGCCTGAATAACTGTACTCGGGAGTTTGTTCCACTCATCCACAACTCTATTACCAAACCAGTGCTTTCCTATATCCTTTCTGAATCTGAATTTTTCCAACTTGAAACCATTGCTGCGAGTCCTGTCTTGGTTGGAAATTTTCAGCATGCTATTTACATCCCCTTTATTTATTCCTGTTTTCCATTTATACACCTTGATCATATCCCCCCTAATTCTACGCCTTTCGAGAGAGTGCAGATTCAGGGCCCTCAGTCTATCCTCATAGGGAAGATTTCTGATACATGGGATCATCTGTCATCCTCCTCTGTACGTTTTCCAGAGCATTTATATCCATTCTGTAATACGGTGACCAGAACTGAGCAGCATAGTCTAAATGAGGCCTAACCAAGGATATATAGAGTTGAAGAACAGCCTGAGGACTTCTATTATTTATACTTCTAGATATGAAGCCAAGAATTCTGTTAGCTTTATTGCGAACACTAATGCACTGTTGTCTTGGTTTTAAATTACTGCTAACCAGAACTCCTAAATCCTTTTTGCAATCAGTAGTATTAAGATCTACATTATTTAGTTTATATGTGGCATGGTTATTTACCTGTCCAACATTTAGAACTTTGCATTTGTCAATGTTAAACTGCATCTGCCACTTCTCCGACCATTGCATCAGTCTATTCAAATCATCCTGGAGTGCTCTAGTGTCCTCATTAGAATGAATTGGACGGCCTATTTTGGCGTCATCAGCAAATTTGCTTATGTCACTATTTATTCCCTCATCTATGTCGTTTATGTAAATTGTGAACAACAACGGGCCCAACACTGACCCCTGAGGAATACCGCTTGTGACGTGCCCCCATTCTGATTTCTCCCCATTTATGCAAACTCTCTGCTGTCTATTTGTCAGCCATGCCTCTACCCAGGAAAAAATTTCTCAAAATTATCAACAAAATGTTAGGTAAAAGGACACAGACTATTGTGGCAGTGTTTTGCTCTCCAGGAGCCACAACAACTTGTCACATTAGTTGCATCTGTCCTTTTATCTAGCACCCTGAAGGATGGGTGGGAATGATGCAATGTTACCCAGGATTGCAACAAGGTGGAGTGCAGTGCCTGCATTCTGAAGGATGTGTAGGCATGATATGGTTGCAAAGATTCATGTATAATATATAACCACTTCCTTCAAGAGACAGGAAAAAGTATTGGTACACAAGTTTACTTGAGGTAAACTGCCTTTACCAATCATGTCAGTGTTTATTTCTTTTGTTGAGAAATATCTAATGTTAAAAACTCATACTATAGCAGAAATGTTAATAACAAATTATACATAAACATTTATTTTCATCATACTTACAGGATAAAGGAAAAATGTTCAGGTAACTTGTATCAAATTAACAAATAATGTGATTATAAAATACTAATTTTCCAGATTACACATTTTAAATTTTATACAATACTAACAAAATACCATTTGGTGGTACACTGTAAAGTACTTTTGGCTATACATTGTTTGTAAAAGAACTTTTGGTGGTACACTGCTTGAAGTAGTACGTTTGGCAGCACACTGTAAAAGTACCACTGGCAGCACACTGTAATAGTACCACTGGCAGCACACTGTAAAAGTACCACTGGCAGCACACTGTAAAAGTACCACTGGCAGCACACTGCAATAGTACCACTGGCAGCACACTGCAATAGTACCACTGGCAGCACACTGCAATAATAACTTGGTGGCACACTAACAGGCATTCATAATATTTTACAACACCCTTGCATTTCAATGCTCCTTCCTTAAAGGTTTACATAAGGAAAATCATGTCATCTGCAACCATCAGCTGGTTATCATCTGTCATTCTTGCAATTGCAGCATCGAATTCATCCGTGGTAAATGGCTGAGAGGCATGTTCATCACTCAGGAACTTCTTAACCTTCGACACAGCCACTGTTTGAATTCTTTCCTGAAAGATCAAAAAAAATAATGAACTAACAAGTAAATAATGCTATCAGTATAGTAAACCCTCAATATAATGAACTAACAGGGGGATCATACGAGTGTCTAATAAATCAGAATGTTAAAAAATAGCATAAAAGTACACTAAAGTACTCTACCTAGTATAATGCTGTACACACAATTAACAGATATACTGCAATAAACATTGACAATAATGGAGTTAAAATTACAATTTAACCAGTGGATTTTACCCATAATTTTAAGTTTTATCCAGGGTTTACTGTACATATATATTTAAAATGAAGCTATTAAGTGCAAGAAAATATTCTATTCAATATAAATTATATGTACAGAAAGTACAGTCACCTCTTACAATTCCTTTACATAATGTGAACTTTTCCTCAACACAACTGAAAAAGTACATCCAAAATTTAACAGTGAGTATTATGATCATTCCACATGCTATTCCAGTCTGGATGTACATTTTCAATCACATCTACAAAAACAACACACCATATGTAAAGCAGCTTTATAAGAGTTAAATGTATATAAATGTATCAACTTCAAGTTACTGTTTTCACTATCTTCTGCAACAGCACCACTAACTAAAAACAACTGCCATGTACTGTATTGCAACACCTGACCGAGGTCAGTATACCTAAAGGATGCTTCCGGGAGATGTCAATAACACAAAGCTGGTAAGAAACATGGGTCCACAATAGTAATTATCACATTCATATGAGTCTGATTTTCAAAGGGACAACAACCATAGTTTTCCACTGGAGATAAAATTCCTTCAGGCCAAATCTGACTGAAGAGATGCAAGAGAAAGTCTAGTGTTGAAGGATGTTCATAACAGAACATGCAAACTTGTACATCATCAGGCCCAGCTGGTACAAGTTGAAATCTTGATAGCACCCATGTGGATTCTCTTAACCCGAAGGTAACAATGTACAATCGTAAGTATGAGAGGTGAAGCCTAGTGGTGTTCCCCATGGGAACACAAGAAAAGTGATTCTAATTGCTGAAGCTGTGTCAACAATGTGGGCTAATTCTTTGCCAGCAATGTTAAGGATGGGAGCTAGGTCAAGTGTGTATGTACTTGCCTCATGATGCCCACTTTTTTTTTTTTCCCCATTCTATATAGACACAGACGTAGGCACACCAACAAATTCGTAACGTAAATGACCACTGCCTTGCTAGCAAGTAAGATAATAATTTGCAGTATGACTGTGATTGAAGCAGCACCATGTAGCACATTTCAAACAAATGGCATGAGCAAAGTTGAGAGACCGCCATATGTTATGTGCACAGCTGCAGAAAACACAAACACTGAAGAGTTGCAACACTTGTCTGAAGAGGTGGTATCAGAAGAATACTAAGGAGGAGGGGTATGTTCAGCATGTTGAGAAGGAAGTGTAGGCTCTGGTTATAGCCAGGGTACTGCTTCTTCTGTTCTTGCCACCTTCTCACTGTTGTTGTGTTGAAGGTATTAGGTGTCTGGACATACAGTATAAAAAGATTGAAGTGAGGGGTATCTGCATGCCCAGCTTTTAGCAGAAAGGCTGCAAACTAATCTTGCTCATGTACAGGACAAGACTGTCGCCCCACCACCCCCCACACCAAAGAATTTCTTAAATCTACAGTTCTTGGCCACCTCTACCAAACAAATAAAACAACCACACACATGCACAAAATAAACAAAATATCAAAGAATATGGCAAAAATAAAGTGGAATTCAGCTATAATAAAACAGTCATTAATTTACAGTTCTTGAGCATCCTCCACCAAGCAGATACAAGCCTCCATGTGTGCACCACAAAAAAGAAACTCTGAAAAATAATAAGAATAAACAATGCAGGCATTCCTGACACTAAAATAACATTTCCTCTGTTTATTATTTATGTTTCCAGGCTTTACACATGAATTCCATTTTGATTCTTTATTCACAAAGAATTTTTATTCACACCAAAAAATAGAAGATTTAGTGTTATGCAATACTGTAACTGTATAAATAATATCAGCACATTTGTGAACTTATATCAGACCCACATCTCTACTTTTGTAATATATCTTCCATTCTATCAAATGAGACCAAGAAACTGCAATTTTTTTTTTTTTCCTCAACAAGTTGGTCGTCTCCCACCGAGGCAGGGTGACCCAAAAAAGAAAGAAAATCCCCAAAAAGAAAATACTTTCATCATCATTCAACACTTTCACCACACTCACACATTATCACTGCTTTTGCAGAGGTGCTCAGAATACAACAGTTTAGAAGCATATACGTATAAAGATACACAACATATCCCTCCAAACTGACAATATCCCAAACTGCAAATACAAACATAAAAACCATACAAAAATACACCGCAAAGTTGTTTTAATAAAAAAAAAACACGGTCAGTTTTTTCTCATTATGCACTGTGTGCTGGTGCACACTACTACACAGATGCATTCTCTTACATCTAAGCCCAAATTTACCGCTCACAGCTTATCTGAGTGACCTGAGCTCATGACAGTACTACAGCACAGACCCAGGCTTTAAAGCCGTAAAACTATGGGACGGACCCTTAACCCTTTCAGGGTTTCGGCCATACTAGTACAGCTTACGCACCAGGGTTTTTGACGTACTAGTACACCTAAATTCTAGCGCCCTCAAATATAGTGAGAGAAAGCTGGTAGGCCTACATATGAAAGAATGGGTCTATGTGGTCAGTGTGCACAGTATAAAAAAATCCTGCAGCACACAGTGCGTAATGAGAAAAAAAAAACTTTGACCATGTTTTTGGATTAAAACAGCAACTTTGCACTGTATTTTCGTATGGTATTTATTGTTGTATTCTAGTTTTCCTGGTCTCATTCTATAGAATGGAAGACACATTACAGAAATTGAGATGATTTTGACTGATTTTACAATGAAAAGTACCTTGAAATTGAGCTCAAATTAGCAGAAATGTTCAATTTTTACCAAAGTTCAAAAGTAAACAAATCATGCTTAGTGTCCAATACACGTCAACTGGCGAGTCTAATATTCTTTCAGAAGTGCGCCGATATTATTTATACCATTTTTTACACTAATGCAGTAGTCTGCATAACAGTAAATCTTCTATTTTTTGTGAGAATAAAAATTCAAAGTGGAAAACACAAGAATGTAAGAGGGGCCTTGGGACATGGCTAATGAACAGAGGAAATGTCATTTTAGTGCCAGGAATGTCTTTCTTGTTTATTCTGGACCCTATTTGGAAATTGGCATCTTTTGAAATTTGTGTGAAATTGGCAAAATTGCTAAATTCTGACCACTGTATTGGATAGTTGAAATCGGTAAATGGGTGGTTTCTTGCACTCATTCTATAGAAAAAATGGAGTTCTAGCAAAATATTCATGATTTTTGTCGACTAGTACAGTGGAATTTTCCGAAAATAGGGCTCAAAGTGGGCAAAAATCGCTGATGCGTAAACATCGTCGAGACCGCTAACTTCGCGAGAGCATAATTCCGCAAGTTTTCCATCAAATTTCATACTTTTGGTGTCATTATGATCGGGAAAAGATTCTCTATCTTTTCAAAAGAAAGAATATTTTTTTTTTTTTTTGAAATTTGGGCGACCCTGAGAACAAGTTTCTGAGAGGGCCTGTCGACCATGAAAGGGTTAAGGGGTTAAAAAACGACCCTTCAACGTTTCATAATGCTATGTAACCATAACCTCAAAAAAATGTTACCTCTTTGAACAGCTTTGTGAGTGAAACTTTGAAGGCTGCTAGTCTCTCAGTAGAGATCTCTTTAGGTGTAGTAGTAGATGAAGCAGCTTCACTAGTCCTGGAGGCTCTGCTAACACTGCTTCTCACTGAGGCTGGTGTTGGAGACATGGCTTCACCTTCTTCCTCGGCACTCTCAATGTCATAAGGATCATAACCTACACAACAACAAAATTCACATTAATAAATCACTTCAGTAGACCTACTCTGTAATCTACTTTAAAAACAACATGCAAACAACACAATATTTACTTGTTCTGGAGTTTATTGCCCCTGACCTCCTCTCTTACACTACACCTACATGAAAAAAAAAAGGTAAATGATTAAGAATTATTAAGAAACAGGAAGCAAAGGTAGGTAGGTGAGCAGGTAAGTGAAGATGTGGGAAGGAGGGGAAGTGATGGGGTAAGAGTGTGCATATGTACAATGGACCCCCAGTTATCGACCGGTTTGGTTATCGGCCAACTCAGTTATCAACGGGTTTTTCCACGCCTGGTTACCGGCCGTTTCGGAAGCATCCATCCGCCGGCTAGGGCAGCTTGCACTTCAGTTTCATTTTGTCTCTAGGTGGCTGAGGAAGCTTCTGCTCATACATCCAAACATTTTGCTTGTTTACCATTGTTTTTATTGGTTTTTCTTGCAGTGCACTGTGAAATAAGTAACCATGGGTCCAAAGAAAGCTCCTAGTAAAGTTCCTGTGGTAAACAGTGAGAAACGCCATGGAATTTAAGCATGAAGTGATAGAAAAGCTTGAGAGTGGTATGAAGGTGGTGGAACTTGCCAGGATGTACAGCAAGAATAAATCAACAATTACATTCATCCTGGCAAAGAAAGAACAAATCAAAGATGCTAATGTTGCAAAAGGAGTAACTTTTCTAACTAAACAAAGGCCACCAATAATGGAAAAGATGGAAAAGTTATTATTATTGTGGATTAAGGAAAAAGAATTAGTGGGAGACAGTGTTGTGGAGTCGATTATTTGTGAGAAGGCAAAGCAGTTGCATGAGGATCTTGCAAAGAAAATGCCTGGAACAAGTGCTGCAGTTTGTGAATTTAGAGCCAGCAAAGAATGGTTTGATATATTTAAGAAGCGTAGTGGCATACACAGTGTTGTAAGGCATGGTGAGGCTGCAAGTTCTGACAAATGTGCAGCTGAAAAGTATGTTCACGAATTCCAGGACTACGTAAAGGCTGAAGGATTCGAACCCCAACAAGTGTTCAATTGTGACGAAACAGGCCTGTTCTGGAAGAAAATGCCAAACAGGACCTACAATACCTGGAGTTTACCTGGAGAGAGTTCCGGGGGTCAACGCCCCCGCGGCCCGGTCTGTGACCAGGCCTCCTGGTGGATCCGAGCCTGATCAACCAGGCTGTTGCTGCTGGCTGCACGCAAACCAACGTACAAGCCACAGCCCGGCTGATCAGGAACCGACTTTAGGTGCTTGTCCAGTGCCAGCTTGAAGACTGCCAGGGGTCTGTTGGTAATCCCCCTTATGTATGCTGGGAGGCAGTTGAACAGTCTCGGGCCCCATTACCCATAAGGAAAAGGCACTGCCAGGACACAAGCCTATAAAAGACAGGCTTCTTCTTTTGTTGTGTGGTAATGCTAGTGGGGATTTCAAAGTGAAGCTTTTACTCATGTATCACTCAGAAAATCCCAGAGTGTTCAAGAAAAACAATGTAATGAAGAATAGATTGTGTGTGATGTGGAAAGCTAATCATAAGGCATGGGTCACAAGGCAAATTTTCAAAGAGTGGGTTAATGATGTGTTTGGCCCAAGTGTGAAAAAATACTTCCTGGAAAAGAAATTGCCACTCAAGTGCCTCCTGTTACTGGACAATGCTCCTGCACATCCTCCAGACTTGCAAGACCAATGTTTTCAGGGACTCTCAGTTTCATCACAGATTAAGTGTCTTGCCATCCCTAGACACCACTCCTTCCTCCAGCCCATGGACCAGCAGGCCATTTCTAACTTCAAAAAACTCTACACAAAAGCAGTGTTTCAAAAGTGCTTTGAAGTACTGGGGAAGTCCCTGGGGTTGGAGGTGAGTGGCAAGGATGTGGATGAGTTGGTGGAGGACCACAGGGAAGAGCTTACCACTGAAGAGCTGCAAGAGCTTCAACTTGAACAGCAACAGACTGGAGCTGAGGAACTTGCTTCAGAAGAGGAGGAAGAGAGTGAAAGAGGTGCCTTCTTCAGAGATTAAAGAGGTGTGTGCATGTGGATTAGGGTGCAAGCTTTTGTAGAGAAACACCACCCTGACAAAGCTGAAACAAGCCATATCTGCAACAATGTTTAGTGGCAAAACCCTGTCCCACTTCAGGAAAATCTTTAAGAGATGCCAGAAACAGAACACTCTGGACAGTTATTTTGTGAGACAGGATCCAGTGACTCTCAAGCTGGTCCTAGTGGCAATAAAAGACAGAAGGGAAGTAACCCCAGAGAAGGCTTTGCTACCTAGTCTTTATGGAGGGGGATTCCCCTTCCAAACACTAACTCCTCCCTCTTTCCTCCTCCCTATCTTCCAGAAGCCAGCATTAGCCATCAATAAAGGTATGTAATACTTACATAATTGTTAATTTTTTTTTTTGTGAATATTTTTATTTGGAACGGATTAATTGTATTTCCATTAATTCTTTTTTTTATTATCACACTGGCCGATTCCCACCAAGGCAGGGCGCCCGAAAAAGAAAAACTTTCACCATCATTCACTCCACCACTGTCTTGCCAGAAGGGTGCTTTACACTACAGTTTTTAAACTGCAACATTAACACCCCTCCTTCAGAGTGCAGGCACTGTACTCCCCATCTCCAGGACTCAAGTCCGGCCTGCCGGTTTCCCTGAATCCCTTCATAAATGTTACTTTGCTCACACTCCAACAGCATGTCAAGTATTAAAAACCATTTGTCTCCATTCACTCCTATCAAACACGCTCACGCATGCCTGCTGGAAGTCCAAGCCCCTCGCACACAAAACCTCCTTTACCCCCTCCCTCCAACCTTTCCTAGGCCGACCCCTACCCTGCCTTCCTTCCACTACAGACTGATACACTCTTGAAGTCACTCTTTCGCTCCATTCTCTCTACATGTCCGAACCACCTCAACAACCCTTCCTCAGCCCTCTGGACAACAGTTTTGGTAATCCCGCACCTCCTCCTAACTTCCAAACTACGAATTCTCTGCATTATATTCACACCACACATTGCCCTCAGACATGACATCTCCACTGCCTCCAGCTTCTCCTCGCTGCAACATTCATCACCCATGCTTCACACCCATATAAGAGCGTTGGTAAAACTATACTCTCATACATTCCCCTCTTTGCCTCCAAGGACAAAGTTCTTTGTCTCCACAGACTCCTAAGTGCACCACTCACCCTTTTCCCCTCATCAATTCTATGATTCACCTCATCTTTCATTGACCCATCCGCTGACACGTCCACTCCCAAATATCTGAATACATTCACTTCCTCCATACTCTCTCCCTCCAATCTGATATCCAATCTTTCATCACCTAATCTTTTTTGTTATCCTCATAACCTTACTCTTTCCTTTATTCACTTTTAATTTTCTTCTTTTGCACACCCTACCAAATTCATCCACCAATTTCTGCAACTTCTCTTCAGAATCTCCCAAGAGCACAGTGTCATCAGCAAAGAGCAACTGTCACAACTCCCACTTTATGTGTGATTCTTTATCTTTTAACTCCACGCCTCTTGCCAAGACCCTCGCATTTACTTCTCTTACAACCCCATCTATAAATATATTAAACAACCACGGTGACATCACACATCCTTGTCTAAGGCCTACTTTTACTGGGAAATAATTTCCCTCTTTCCTACATACTCTAACTTGAGCCTCACTATCCTCGTAAAAACTCTTCACTGCTTTCAGTAACCTACCTCCTACACCATACACCTGCAACATCTGCCACATTGCCCCCCTATCCACCCTGTCATACGCCTTTTCCAAATCCATAAATGCCACAAAGACCTCTTTAGCCTTATCTAAATACTGTTCACTTATATGTTTCACTGTAAACACCTGGTCCACACACCCCCTACCTTTCCTAAAGCCTCCTTGTTTATCTGCTATCCTATTCTCCGTCTTACTCTTAATTCTTTCAATAATAACTCTACCATACACTTTACCAGGTATACTCAACAGACTTATCCCCCTATAATTTTTGCACTCTCTTTTGTCCCCTTTGCCATTATACAAAGGAACTATGCATGCTCTCTGCCAATCCCTAGGTACCTTACCCTCTTCCATGCATTTATTAAATAATTGCACCAACCACTCCAAAACTATATCCCCACCTGCTTTTAACATTTCTATCTTTATCCCATCAATCCCGGCTGCCTTACCCCCTTTCATTTTACCTACTGCCTCACGAACTTCCCCCACACTCACAACTGGTTCTTCCTCACTCCTACAAGATGTTATTCCTCCTTGCTCTATACACGAAATCACAGCTTCCTTATCTTCATCAACATTTAACAATTCCTCAAAATATTCCCTCCATCTTCCCAATACCTCTAACTCTCCATTTAATAACTCTCCTCTCCTATTTTTAATTCTTATGGGAAATATTAATTCTGTTATCAGCCATTTCGGTTATCAACCGACCTTCTGGAACAGATTACGGCCGATAACTGGGGGTCCACTGTATATGCAAGAAAGGGAGATATAGAGACAAAGACATGAGAGACAGAGACAAAAGAGAGAGACAAAAGAGACAATGAGACAGACAGACTCACCAATATATGGTTGCATGGTTCAAGTCTCTGCTCTTGGCCCCATCTCTCATCTTTTTGCTAGCTGTTGCTTGGTTTACTCTCTCATGGCTTCAAGACTGAGGCCCAGTAACTAACAAATGGTAACTGACTAACAAACTATATCTCTCTTCCTTATATGGTTACCCAACATGCCACAATGATTGTACCTCCCAATTTAGTTACCCAGCATCATGCCAGGATGATTATACCTCCCTATATGGTTACCCAGCATCATGCCAGCATGATTGTACCTCCCTATATGGTGACCCAACATGCCAGGATGATTGTACCTCCCTATATGGTTACCCAGCATCATGCCAGGATGACTACCTCCCTAAATGGTTACCAAGCTACAATCTATGGTATTCTTACACAGAATGAAGGTTAACTGGGTGTCAAATGTAACATTTTAATACACCAGCTGTTCCCTAGTGAGGTAGGGCAATATAGTCATTGTTCATTCAATGACTATTGCCAGAAGTGTGTTTATATCACAGTCAGATGGTACTCTAAAGTACAACATTCCCAACCATCATTGAGTGTCCAGGCACTGGTGCTCCCACCTCCAGGACTTAAGTCTAGGTAACCAGATGCTCTAAATCCCTTCATAAATGTTACTAACAGAATGTCAAAGCATAAAATAAAACCATGTCTGACTCTCCACAAATCACTCTCACTCAGGAGACTGAAACTTATGACTAAGTTGCAGTCCTACTTGGACCAAAACACTGTCATTAATTTCATTCTCCTGATTGTGTTATTTGTGTAGTGTTCCAGTCACGGTACTGTGACTTTTTATTCCTCGTGTGACTGCCGTAGTGCTGGGAGTGACAATACCTCAGGACTGGGAGTTAGTCAGGTTTAATGTGAGGAAGGGGAAGACAAGTTCCAATGCTTGTCACAAGAGGTCTTCACCAGCACAGAAGACCCAATAAGCAGAGTACAAAGACCAACCTTCATCACCAGGCTGCTTCTTGGTCTTCTTGACCTTCTTTGTCTTCTTCTCTGCCTCTCCTGTGCCTCTTCTCTTTCTCTTCCTCCCACCTTCCTCCTCCTCCCTGTTGTCATCTTCCTCTTCTGGTTCTGTATCACTCTCTTCATCATTCTTACGCCTCTTCTTCCTCTCCATCACCTGCAATCAAGAGTATATATTTAAGAGACAGTCACTCCATGCTACATACACACTATGTGATGTGGTCACTCCATGCTACATACACACTATGTGATGTGGTCACTCTATGCTACATACACACTATGTAATGTGGTCACTCCATGCTACATACACACTATGTAATGTGGTCACTCCATGCTACATACACACTATGTGAAGTGGTCACTCCATGCAACACACAATGTACTGTGAAAGGTAGGTATCAAGAGAAAGAAAAGAGGATTAACATTCATGTTAGGAATGTGTTGATATGTGGTAATTCAACAAGACAGTTGTCAAGTTGAAAGAAGGGTAGTTTAACCAGTTTACAAGTGACTGATCTTTAACATGACAAAAAGAATAATTAGTGTCAGCAGAGAAGGAACACACACACGCTCAGCAACATACTGGAGAGGGAACAAGGAGCATGAAAGGGAGCATACACTGGAACATCAGAGGCAGGGAAAAGGGACAGGGGGGAAGAAGTATGAACCAGATTAGTGACAAGATTACAATAAATAATAACAATAATAATAAAATTTTGGAGGGAGTTAAACAAGTTAAGAAAGCCTAGGGAAAGTATGGATTTGTCAGTTAAAAACAGAGTAGGGGAGTTAGTAGATGGGGAGATGGAGGTATTAGGTAGATGGCGAGAATATTTTGAGGAACTTTTAAATGTTAAGGAAGAAACAGAGGCAGTAATTTCATGCACTGGTCAGGGAGGTATACCATCTTTTAGGAGTGAAGAAGAGCAGAATGTAAGTGTGGGGGAGGTACGCGAGGCATTACGTAAAATGAAAGGGGGTAAAGCAGCTGGAACTGATGGGATCATGACAGAAATGTTAAAAGCAGGGGGGGATATAGTGTTGGAGTGGTTGGTATTTTTGTTTAATAAATGTATGAAAGAGGGGAAGGTACCTAGGGATTGGCAGAGAGCATGTATAGTCCCTTTATAATAATAAAGGGAAAGGGGACAAGAGAGACTGTAAAAATTATAGGGGAATAAGTTTACTGAGTATACCAGGAAAAGTGTACGGTAGGGTTATAATTGAAAGAATTAGAGGTAAGACAGAATGTAGGATTGCGGATGAGCAAGAAGGTTTCAGAGTGGGTAGGGGATGTGTAGATCAAGTGTTTTACATTGAAGCATATATATGAACAGTATTTAGATAAAGGTAGGGAAGTTTTTATTGCATTTATGGATATAGAAAAGGCATATGATAGAGTGGATAGAGGAGCAATGTGGCAGATGTTGCAAGTACAGTGGACCCCCGGTTAACGAACTTTTTTCATTCCAGTAGTATGTTCAGGTGCCAGTACTGACCGAATTTTTTCCCATAAGGAATATTGTGAAGTAGATTAGTCCATTTCAGACCCCCAAACATACACGTACAAACGCACTTACATAAATACACTTACATAATTGGTCGCATTTGGAGGTGATCGTTAAGCGGGGGTCCACTGTATATGGAATAGGTGGTAAGTTATTAAATGCTGTAAAGAGTTTTTATGAGGATGGTGAGGCTCAGGTTAGGGTGTGTAGAAGAGAGGGAGACTACTTCCCAGTAAAAGTAGGTCTTAGACAGGGATGTGTAATGTCACCATGGTTGTTTAATATATTTATAGATGGGGTTGTAAAGGAAGTAAATGCTAGGGTGTTCGGGAGAGGGGTGGAATTAAATTTTGGGGAATCAAATTCAAAATGGGAATTGACACATTTACTTTTTGCTGATGATACTGTGCTTATGGGAGATTCTAAAGAAAAATTGCAAAGGTTAGTGGATGAGTTTGGGAGTGTGTGTAAAGGTAGAAAGTTGAAAGTGAACATAGAAAAGAGTAAGGTGATGAGGGTGTCAAATGATTTAGATAAAGAAAAATACTTTCATCATCATTCAACACTTTCACCACACTCGCACATTATCACTCTTTTTGCAGAGGTGCTCAGAATACAACAGTTTAGAAGCATACACATATAAAGATACACAATATATCCCTCCAAACTGCCAATATCCCAAACCCCTCCTTTAAAGTGCAGGCACTGTACTTCCCATTTCCAGGACTCAAGTCCGACTATATGAAAATAACCGGTTTCCCTGAATCCCTTCACTAAATATTACCCTGCTCACACTCCAACAGATCGTCAGGTCCCAAGTACCATTCGTCTCCATTCACTCCTATCTAACACGCTCACGCACGCTTGCTGGAAGTCCAAGCCCCTTGCCCACAAAACCTCCTTTACCCACTCTCTCCAACCCTTTCGAGGACGACCCCTACCCCGCCTTCCTTCCCCTATAGATTTATATGCTTTCCATGTCATTCTACTTTGATTCATTCTCTCTAAATGACCAAACCACCTCAACAACCCCTCTTCTGCCCTCTGACTAATACTTTTATTAACTCCACACCTTTTCCTAATTTCCACACTCCGAATTTTCTGCATAATATTTACACCACACATTGCCCTTAAACAGGACATCTCCACTGCCTCCAACAGTCTCCTCGCTGCTGCAATTACTTAAGATAATTACCAAGCACAAAGGCGGCAAGTCCGTAACCTGTATTCATTTTACTGGTCTATAGTTACACTAATTATTTGTTTATTTACTTATTCAGTGATTTTTTTTTTTTTTTTCCCAACAAGTCGGTCGTCTCCCACCGAGGCAGGGTGACCCAAAAAAAGAAAGAAAATCCCCAAAAAGAAAATACTTTCATCATCATTCAACACTTTCACCACACTCACACATTATCACTGCTTTTGCAGAGGTGCTCAGAATATAACAGTTTAGAAGCATATACGTATAGAGATACACAACATATCCCTCCAAACTGCCAATATCCCAAACCCCTCCTTTAAAGTGCAGGCATTGTACTTCCCATTTCCAGGACTCAAGTCCGACTATATGAAAATAACCGGTTTCCCTGAATCCCTTCACTAAATATTACCCTGCTCACACTCCAACAGATCGTCAGGTCCCAAGTATCATTCGTCTCCATTCACTCCTATCTAACACGCTCATGCACGCTTGCTGGAAGTCCAAGCCCCTCACCCACAAAACCTCCTTTACCCCCTCTTTCCAACCCTTTCGAGGACGACCCCTACCCCTCTTTCCTTCCCCCTATAGATTATATGCTTTCCATGTCATTCTACTTTGATCCATTCTCTCTAAATGACCAAACCACCTCAACAACCCCTCTTCTGCCCTCTGACTAATGCTTTTATTAACTCCACACCTTCTCCTAACTTCCACACTCCGAATTTTCTGCATAATATTTACACCACACGTTGCCCTTAGACAGGACATCTCCACTGCCTCCAACCGTCTCCTCGCTGCTGCATTTACCACCCAAGCTTCACATCCATATAAGAGTGTTGGTACTACTATACTTTCATACATTCCCTTCTTTGCCTCCATAGATAACGTTTTTTGACTCCACATATACCTCAACGCACCACTTCACCTTTTTTCCCTCATCAATTCTATGATTAACCTCATCCTTCATAAATCCATCCGCCGACACGTCAACTCCCAAGTATCTGAAAACATTCACTTCTTCCATACTCCTCCTCCCCAATTTGGATATCCAATTTTTCTTGATCTAAATCATTTGATACCCTCATCACCTTCCTCTTTCTATGTTCACTTTCAACTTTCTACCTTTACACACATTCTCAAACTCATCCACTAACCTTTGCAATTTTTCTTTAGAATCTCCCATAAGCACAGTATCATCAGCAAAAAATAACTGTGTCAATTCCCATTTTGAATTTGATTCCCCATAATTTAATCCCACCCCTCTCCCGAACACCCTAGCATTTACTTCTTTTACAACCCCATCTATAAATATATTAAACAACCATGGTGACATTACACATCCCTGTCTAAGACCTACTTTTACCGGGAAGTATTTATTTACTTGTTTATTTATCATATCATATTTGACTTAGGATATTTTTGAATTACAAGAGGTTTGTTGGAACATAACCCCATCATAAGTCAAGGACCATCTTTATGTGGAAACAGTCAGCAGCTAAACTGTCTCCATTTTATATCTTAACTCTCCGGTACATATATTATTATATTCACAGGGAAGCAGTAAAGCAAGAGGAAGAGGAGATAATCTTCTCTGACACACGAGAAACTTTCCCTCGGGTCAGAGCAGATTACCTCTTATTCCTCTTCCTTTAGTGCAGTGGTTCCCAAACTGGGGGTAAATTACCCCCTGGGGGTAATTTAACCATTTTTGGGGGGTAATGCAGGAGTGACAGAAAAAAAGTTATGAATTCTGAAAATCAAGAAAACAATGCGGTACCCGGTATGAGGATTATTGTTAACTTTGTCTTAGTATATAAAGTTGTAAAGTAAACCTATTATAAGTAAGTAATAAAGTTAAACCAAATAACAATAAACATCAAAAACTAATATACAGTATTAGAAAAGAAGAAATATATAGCTAAGTGTGTAGAAACCCAAAAGTATTTTGACAAGTATGCTTCAGGACAAAAGTCACTCAGTAGCCCAGATCGACCTGTCCAGTATGTGTCACTCACTTACTGAGGCTGCCTCTATTTCACACTGTCAGTTTATCTGTGAGCATCAGCCGAGGTAGACATAAGCTGGTATGTATGTGTACTGCCCTGTGCAGTATATAGTTAGTATTTACCCACTGTTACTGTGAATTTGTAGCTATTATTAATTTTATATATAATGTATGTGTGGTTCTTACGTTTTCAATGGTTTTGCTAGGATTAGCAGAGTATGCGAGGCTGTATACGTTCATGTTTAGCCATATATATCAATAATAACATTTTGTGAAAGGGGTAACATGCTTTATGTGGCATGTTAAATTGGGTAACAAGCTGAAAAAGTTTGGGAACCACTGCTTTAGTGCTTCCCTCCTCCTCCTCCTCCTGACCCACGGAATGGTACTTTGATTTTCTTTGCTCAAGACCCATTTATCAGCATACATGCATACACCTGCCCTTAAAGGAATCGAGTCAAATAAAATGTAGCACATTAGTGAAACAATAGCACTAATAATGACCCACTGGTAGTAATACTAATAATGAAACACTGATAATGACAAATATTGACCCACTGATAAAGGCACAAATAATGACCCACTGATAATGGCACAAATAATGACCCAATGATAATGCATAAATAATGACCCACTGGTAGTAGTACTAATGAGGACCCACTGTTAATAGGACTAATAACAACTGGTAGTAATGTTACAAGTAACGACTCACTGCTAATGACGCACCTTTTTAAAGTAGGCATATGACACCATCTCGATGGCAGCTTCAGCGTCTTGCACTGTTACATAACGGGAAAGTCTGCTTTTTGAATGAGCTGTAGAGAGACGAATGAGCGTCTCCAGGGCACGGGCAGTTACTGGCTGTGTCTGGAAAAGAAGAACCAACTTTAGTATGGTGGTGTAATGTTTGTTCAGACATCTACAAATAAACAAATACTCATTACTGACAAGGCCAGCTATATAGTATAACGTTTGGAAATAATTTTTTTTTTTTAACTAAATATAAATATAAATAATTAACACATTGAAAGACAAGAAAAGAGGAAATTTATGGGTTGTCACCTAAGCTTATCACACAGGAAGGAGGGGTAGGGGCCGTCCTAGAAAAGGTTAGAGGGAGAGAGTAAAGGAGGCTTTGTGGGCGAGGGGCTTGGACTTCCAGCAAGCATGTGTGAACGTGTTAGATAAGAGTGAATGGAGACAAATGGTTTTTGGGACCTGACAAGCTGCTGGAGTGTGAGCAGGGTAATACTTAGTGAAGAGATTCAGGGACTTGAGTACTGGAAATGGGAAGTACAATGCCTGCACTTTAAAGGAGAGGTTTGAGATATTGGAAGTTTCGAGGGGCATGTTATCTATCTTTATACTATACGCTTCTAAACAGTTTCATCTGGGCATCTCTGCAAAGACAGTGATAATGTGTGAGCGAGGTGAAAGTGTTGAATGATGATTAAAGTATTTTCTTTTTGGGGATTTTCTTTTTTTTTTTTTGGTCACCCTGCCTCGGTGGGAGACAACCGACTTGTTTAAAAAAATAAAGGTGTAAATTAAAAAAATGAGTTGTGTACAATAGGTTTTTTTTTTTTTTTTCAACAAGTCGGTCGTCTCCCACCGAGGCAGGGTGACCCAAAAAAGAAAAAATCCCCAAAAAGAAAATACTATCATCATCATTCAACACTTTCACCACACTCACACATTATCACTGCTTTTGCAGAGGTGCTCAGAATACAACAGTTTAGAAGCATATACGTATAAAGATACACAACATATCCCTCCAAACTGCCAATATCCCAAAACCCCTCCTTTAAAGTGCAGGCATTGTACTTCCCATTTCCAGGACTCAAGTCCGACTATATGAAAATAACCCGGGTTTTCCCTGAATCCCTTCACTAAATATTACCCTGCTCACACTCCAACAGATCGTCAGGTCCCAAGTATCATTCGTCTCCATTCACTCCTATCAAACACGCTCATGCACGCTTGCTAGAAGTCCAAGCCCCTCGCCCACAAAACCTCCTTTACCCCCCCCTTTCCACCCTTTCGAGGACGACCCCTACCCCTCTTCCTTCCCCTATAGATTTATATGCTTTCCATGTCATTCTACTTTGATCCATTCTCTCTAAATGACCAAACCACCTCAACAACCCCTCTTCTGCCCTCTGACTAATGCTTTTAAATTTAACTCCACACCTTCTCCTAATTTCCACACTCCGAATTTTCTGCATAATATTTACACCACACATTGCCCTTAGACAGGACATCTCCACTGCCTCCAACCGTCTCCTCGCTGCTGCATTTACCACCCAAGCTTCACATCCATATAAGAGGTTGGTACTACATACTTTCATACATTCCCTTCTTGCCTCCATAGATAACGTTTTTTGACTCCACATATACCTCAACGCACCACTCACCTTTTTTCCCTCATCAATTCTATGATTAACCTCATCCTTCATAAATCCATCTACCGACATGTCAACTCCCAAGTATCTGAAAACATTCACTTCTTCCATACTCCTCCTCCCCAATTTGATATCCAATTTTTCTTTATCTAAATCATTTGACACCCTCATCACCTTACTCTTTTCTATGTTCACTTTCAACTTTCTACCTTTACACACATTCCCAAACTCATCCACTAACCTTTGCAATTTTTCTTATTAAATGGAGAGTTAGAGGTATTGGGAAGATGGAAGGAATATTTTGAGGAATTGTTAAATGTTGATGAAGATAGGGAAGCTGTGATTTCGTGTATAGGGCAAGGAGGAATAACATCTTGTAGGAGTGAGGAAGAGCAAGTTGTGAGTGTGGGGGAAGTTCGTGAGGCAGTAAGTAAAATGAAAGGGGGTAAGGCAGCGGAGATTGATGGGATAAAGATAGAAATGTTAAAGGCAGGTGGGGATATAGTTTTGGAGTGGTTGGTGCAATTATTTAATAAATGTATGGAAGAGGGTAAGGTACCTAGGGATTGGCAGAGAGCATGCATAATTCCTTTGTATAAAGGCAAAGGGGACAAAAGAGTGCAAAAATTATAGGGGGAGAAGTCTGTCGAGTCCTAGGTAGTAGGTTGGTAAACAGCAACCGCCCAGGGAGGTATTACCGTCCTGCCAAGTGAGTGCACAACGAAAGCCATGATGGTAGGATTGCTGGTGCCTTTTGTCTGTCTCATAAACATGCAAGATTTCAGGTATGTCTTGCTACTTCTACTTGCACTTAGATCACACTACACACACTACACATGCCACTGTGCAGCACGACCGACACCACGTGCCACCGTGCGGCACAAGCAACGCTACATGCTACCATGCGACACAAGCAACGCTACATGCTACCGTGCGGCACAACCAACGCTACATGCTACCGTGCGGCACAACCAACGCTAAAATGCCTACCGTGCGGCACAACCAACGCTACATGCTACCGTGCGGCACAACCAACGCTACATGCTACCGTGCGGCACAAGCAACGCTACATGCTACCGTGCGGCACAAGCAACGCTACATGCTACCGTGCGGCACAAGCAACGCTACATGCTACCGTGCGGCACAAGCAAACGCTACTGCTACCGTGCGGCACAAGCAACGCTACATGCTACCGTGCGCACAAGCAACGCTACATGCTACCGTGCGGCACAAGCAACGCTACATGCTACCGTGCGGCACAAGCAACGCTACATGCTACCGTGCGGCACAAGCAACGCTACATGCTACCGTGCGGCACAAGCAACGCTACATGTACCTACCCGTTTTCCGGCACAAAACAACGCTACATGCTACTGTGCGGCACAAGCAACGCTACATGCTACCGTGTAGCACAAGCAATGCTACATGCTACCGTGTAGCACAAGCAACACTACATGCTACCGTGTAGCACAAGCAACACTACATGCTACCGTGTAGCACAAGCAACACTACATGCTACCGTGTAGCACAAGCAACACTACATGCTACCGTGTAGCACAAGCAACACTACATGCTACCGTGTAGCACAAGCAACACTACATGCTACCATGTAGCACAACCAACACTACATGCTACCGTGTAGCACAACCAACACTACATACTACCGTGCAGCACAACCAACACTACATGCTACCATGCAGCACAACCAACACTACTTTTGGCTCCCGTGTAGAAACCAACCCAAACCCTGACCTGCTGGCTACCAAAACCTCCTACACCTGACTTCCTAAAAATAAATAAAAACCACCTCTCCCCCTACATTAAGACTAAAAATTATTTCAAGTTAAGTAATGGGGGGTTCTGGTGGGGTTTTTAAACTTTTTTTGGTTTTTAATGCCTATTTTCTATTGCTAATTAAATTTTTTAGTTTTAACTTTTTTTCCCCTGGGCTTTTTAATTCTTTATAATTTGGAAAAAAGGGGGTGCTCTGTTTTCAGGCAAGGTCTGCTCCCCACGGCAGTTTGAAACTTAACCTGCCAAAAAGTGGGGCCTTACTGTATTTTGTTAAACCCTGGCCACTCCCAAAAGAGAAAAAACACTTTCCCCCATCACCAATCACTATTTTTGGCAGGGGGCATCCCATCACCTAGCTGATTTCCCCTCCCCAAAAAAATGCAATACCCCCACCCCTTAGCATTATAATTTTTTTCCATTTAAAAAGTTTTTAATGAACCGGGGTCCCAACCAGGTTTTAGGGCTTATGTTTCTGGAAAAAATTTATATGGACAAAACCCCAAATTTAAAGGGAAAAATATTAGTAGGTTGGTAAAAAAGCAACCCCCCCAGGGGGGTTTATACCCTTTCCCTCCCAAAGTGAGTGTAAAAATGAAACCCTGAAATTTGTTTACATGTTGGTGGGGTTTGCTGATGTTTTTTGTCTTCTCACAAAATTTTAAAAGTTTAAACGGGTTTATATTTGGGTACTTATATTTTACATTAGGTCACATACACAACATGAAAACCACATTTTTATAAAACACTCATCTGAGTTTTCTTTTTTTTTATCTTAATAGTTTTTAGTCTTTTTTACTTTTTTTTATACCAGGGGGAAAGGGGAAAACCCAAGAATCTTTCCCCCGAAAGCCAGCTTTTTTAAAAAAAAGTAAAAACTAAAATCCCGGGGAAAACAAGGGGCCCTAGAAAACCCCTTTTTTTTCCTTTTTAAAAAATTACAAAAAGAATAAGAAGAAAATTTTCAAGGGGGGAATCTGAAGTGCTTGGAGTTGTCCCAAATGTTTAAGAAAGAGTTTGTTTGTGGAGGGTTATGAAAAAAGAACGGGAAAGGGTCCTGGTTTTAAAGTGAAAACAAAGCGGGGGGGGGGTGGGGAGGTTTCAATGGAAGGAAAAATGGGATTAGGTCGGGGTTTAAAATTTAGAGTTAGAGTTTAAAGAAGGGGGTACCCAAAATGTTAAAGGATAAGCTATGGCAGGGAAAGAGGTCTAAAAAATGTTTTTAATTAAAGGTTATGTGGGTAAAATAAAGATTGGATTTTAAAAAGTGGGTTTTTAATAAGGTGTATGCCCCCCCGGGAGAAAGAGAATGTAAGGAGAGAAAAGGAGAGTTTTTTGGGAAAATGTTGAGGTTTGGTGGGGAGTTTTAAATAAAAGGTGAGAGAAAAATGGGGGTTTGGGGGGTTTTTCCCAATCTAAAGGGGTTTAAAAATGTTATGGAGGGATTTAAGTATGAAAATTTTTGGGGTGCCAGGGGGAAAATGTAAAGGGGGACCCTTTAAAATTGGGTTATGTTTTAAAAAGGAAATTTTGGGGTAAAAAATTTAAAAATTTTTTATAAAAAAAGGGGAAATAAAAAAATAAAACAAGGTATGATGTAGCCCCGTAATGAAAGTAGTTTATTAGTTTATGTATTGGGGGGAATAAAAGGTGATGGGTAGGCTCCAGGATGTACATGTTTTTAGGGGGGCCCAACGATATATGGGAATCATTTTTTTGGGGTTTT